TCGAATCCCCGCGGCGGGGTGCGCTCCCGTTGCTCGGTCCCAGCGCCTGTCAACCTAGCAGTTCGAAAGCACCCCCAGGTGCAAGTAGATAAATAGGGACCGCTTACTGGCGGGAAGGTAAATGGCGTTTCCGTGTGCGGCTCTGGCTCGCCAGATGCAGCTTTGTCACGCTGGCCACGTGACCCGGAAGTGTCTCCGGACAGCGCTGGCCCCCGGCCTCTTGAGTGAGATGGGCGCACAACCCCAGAGTCTGTCAAGACTGGCCCGTACGGGCAGGGGTACCTTTACCTTTATGCACCATTGAATCTAATTCACACCTTAATTTTCGCAACGTGATTTGGCCAAAAAAGGTGTGCATTAGATTCAAGTAAATACGGTACTATGCTTCGTTACAGTTTGCTATCACTTGCACCACATCAGCTCTCAAGCTTTTTGCGCTAATGTGATGTTGGGTCTCTCCTGCACATTTCTGTAGAGCTATCACAAATCTGATTACGTGTAAGATTGCAGCCAATGATATTAAGAGTAAGAAAGTGAAATTTCAACAGAAGGAAATCATTTCCATTGCAAGATTTCCTCCAAATTTCAAAGGAAAAGGGATTAACCCAAGAAAGTGATTAGCTATATTTCACTGAGTTACAGAAGTGCACTAAAGGGTAACGAATAAACTTACCCTTCTTGCGGTTTATGTAAGGCATATTCAAGTTTGTAAGTGGATAAATTTGAAGACATTGGGCTGAAAGTCAGTAACAGAAAAACAAGGCCCTGGTTTGACAAGTGTGACTGTAAATGCTTATGAAGGAGTCGCTCTCTGAACGTCATTGTCTGGTCAGTATTACGCCTGAGTTTGTACCAGCCCACCACAGTCTGGAAGAGAAATGGCAATCTGAAAATTAGACATAGCTTCTTTAAACAACAACAACAACAACTTATTATTTATACCCTGCCCATCTGGCTGGGGTTCCCCCAGCCACTCTGGGCGGCTTCCAACAAAACATTAAAATACAATAACCTATTAAACATTAAAAGCTTCCCTAAACAGGGCTGCCTTCAGATGTCTTCTAAAAGTTTGGTAGTCATTTTTCTCTTTGACATCTGGTGGAAGGGCATTCCACAGGGCAGGTGCCACTACCGAGAAGGCCCTCTGTCTGGTTCCCTGTAACCTCACTTCTCGCAGAGAGGGAACTGCCAGAAGGCCCTTGGCACTGGACCTCAGTGTCCGGGCAGAACAATGGGGGTGGAGACGCTCCTTCAGGTATACTGGACCAAGGCCATTTAGGGCTTTAAAGGTCAGCACCAACACTTTGAATTGTGCTCGGAAACGTGCTGAGAGCCAGTGTAGGCCTTTCAAGACTGGTGTTATATGGTCTCGGCGGCCGCTCCCAGTCACCAGTCTAGCTGCCGCATTCTGGATTAGTTGTAGTTTCCGGGTCACCTTCAAAGGTAGTCCCACATAGAGCACATTGCAGTAGTCCAAGCGAGAGATAACTAGAGCATGCACCACTCTGGCGAGACAGTCTGCGGGCAGGTAGGGTCTCAGCCTGTGTACCAGATGGAGTTGATAAACAGCTGCCCTGGACACACAATTGACCTGTGCCTCCATGGACAGCTGTGAGTCCAGAATGACTCCCAGGCTGCGCCCCTGGTCCTTCAGGGGCACAGTTACCCCAATCAGGACCTGGGAGTCCTCCATACCTGCCCATCTCCTGTCCCCCCAAAACAGTACTTCTGTTTTCAACCTCAATCTGTTAGCCGCCATCCATCCTCCAACCGCCTCCAGACACTCACACAGGACCTTCACTGCCTTCACTGGTTCTCATACCTCTTGCCTAATGACTGAGAGTCACCCTATTGCTGGTGCTAAAAGGTGATTTTACCTGGGTTCCCTAAGACTCAGCTTAGCTTGTCTTCTGAAACGCAATGGAATTTCCACCAGCCAAGGTACTAGGCCATACTTAAAATGTCTCTTTGGTAACAACAACCATGTGCCCATAATGTGAAAAGTTGAAAAACCATGTCACTGGCAGATCAACTGTTTGCATGTTCGCTCTAAAGTATGGTCCACTGTATTCATTTGAGCTTCTTTGCCAATATGTGTGTGGAGATAGCAGTCAAAAGCTGCAATCCTAGACACACTTATACTTACTTGGAGTAAGCCCACTGAACTCACTGGGACTTACCTAAAAGTAAAACCTGCCTGTACATGTCTAATAAGAACCAGTCTGTAGGATATTATGCATGCATTTAAACAAGAATATAGTAGTAATCTATGGTATCCATACATTTCTGTTTTGTGAAGAGGTTAGTTCTAAACGCAAAATACCTTTTTGCAACTCGACAGTATATTATTCAGCAGTGGCTCGTTCAATTCTCCTGCCGAGTTGTAAAAGCTGGAAAAGATAAGAGGAATCCCAAGGGCAACAGAGATGTTGAATCAAAGACATTTCTAGAGTGGCATTGGTTTTTATTACTAAGCTTCACACATTTGCTCATACAGCAAATGAACACAGGGTATAATGATAATTTCAATAAAAATACAGAAATCAAATCCTTTAGACCTTTGGAAGAGAAGGAAGTCATGGAGAAAATCATGTAACATCTTCTACCCTGAAATAATAATCAACTTTGTTTGCTTTACTGACTTTCCATATGTATTGTTCAACATCAATTGAAGGCATATTTATTTACCCTGGCTTTTGCTGCATGACAACCCTAGCATCAATGATTGGTTGCTAAAATTGGTGTTTGAATTTTTTTTTATGCTTGTTTTTAAATTTTTGTTGGTTGTACATTGCCCTGAACTCCTATGGAGGACATGCAACTAATAAATGCCCTGAGTAAATAAATAAAAATACAGTGGTACCTCGGGTTAAGTACTTAATTCGTTCCGGAGGTCCGTTCTTAACCTGAAACTGTTCTTAACCTGAAGCACCACTTTAGCTAATGGGGCCTCTTGCTGCCACTGTGCAGCCGGAGCACGATTTCTGTTCTCATCCTGAAGCAAAGTTCTTAACCCGAGGTAATATTTCTGGGTTAGCAGAGTCTGTAACCTGAAGCATATGTAACCTGAACTCTCTAAACATGCTTCCCTTGCTTACTTAAAACAGCAAACATTTATCTGTGAGCAAGCCCCACCGAAATAAGTTTCCTTAGGCATGCATATTCTGTTGCCAGGATCCAAGGCTCTGACTGAATTCAACACATGAAGTCCTCTGCGTGAGGGTTTTGCTATCCCCTTGTATGAAACAGAATTCAAGTTTCTTTCTGAAATAGGGTACAGCACTTACCTGAAGGGTTGGTAGCATGGAATGTGACTTTGTATATCTGAAAATGAAACGACATCTTACTTTCCCCTGAATGATTGTGTAGGCATAGCTCTGCACAATGTGGTCTGCTGACAGTAATAACTGAATTCTGTGTTCAGTCACAACCTTATAAGATACTCAAATAATTTTAATATTTATTACATCTGCTAGTCGCTTTTTACAAAAAAAGTCTTAAAGCGACTTAAGATGAAGTACTGCTAAATCAACTAAAAGTCAGAAAAATTAAGAACAATGTACAATATAAAATTCCTAAAATCCTTGCCCACATTTCGCTTATATACTTCAAACAGTGGATAAGCAGAAGTCCATGTGACTCAAGAGCCTTGAAAAAGAAGTATACAGCTGGGTATATCCACAAAAATCACACATCATAGGTATTTTCTCTCATGTGTATACTGACACACAACTACTACAGTAAATTTGAAGATCTATATAATTTTTCTTCCTCAAAAACAAATGCAAAACAAATTGGGCAGGCCTTTGATGACATTTGTTCTCTTTCTGCTGCTCTGAAGAGATAGGAATGTCAAGGGACCATTATGAAAAGCTGTATAGAAATAAAAGAACTACACAGCCGCCGGACAAACCTGGAGATAACACTATTCCTTGTAGGGGAGGGAAAGGACGAGTTGCGGTATAAAATAGATCCTGCTGCTAGACACCATGGGATCCCACAGAATGACTTCACAGCAGCTCAGAAGCAATGCAGCACCATCACCGCATTCAAATATACTGGTACACTCATGCACTAATAATATTTTACAAGCGCCACATAATGTTCATTCCGCCCCAAAGGAAATGCATCGGTTGGCAGCTGACTTACCAATTGTATACACAACTTCAGCACCATCCATCTGAGAGTCAGTAATGACGTCCTTGGCTTCAGATTTCACCTCCCCAAGGAGGAATCCTTCCTTTGCAATTGAAGAAACACCATAGTTATGCATCACTCCACTAGCAAGAGCTGTACAGTCAGTATTATTATTATTAGTTTCTAAACCACTTTATATTTTGAATAAAAAAATCTCAAAGCGGTTTGCAACCTACATTAAAACATCAAAGAAAACAACCCCGAATAAAACATTCCTGAAGAAAGTGAAATATAATGTATACACCCAAAGTAACAAAATGAACAGGAATCTAAAATATTAGATTTCAAAACAAAATGTTACAAAGGAGGTCAACTACAAAATGCACATTTAAAGCAGCAAAGTTAGCAAAACAAAACAATTTTTTCAAAAGAAAACATTACTAAAAGAAGTCAAATATAAAACGCTCATTTAAAACAGCATAATTTAAGGGCTGGGCCTGGACGGAAGTATTTGAGTCGTCCCCCTTCAAAAAGCAGATCAAATCGCACCCTTTGCCACTGACTAGTCCCAAACTTTTAGTAAATTTGGAAGCATATTCTAACATTAAACTAACTATGGATGCTTCCAGGTGACCTGTCCCTGAAGCATCCACTGTATAGCTGTTTTGCAAGGTTAGGCGATTTGTGTCAAGCGAGTAGTGGCTATGGAGTGTCAGACTACGACTAGGACCAGGGAGATCTGCGAGGAGGGAAATTTGAAATACGTATATCTCAAGCACGCCCAAGACACAGCGGAGACACACAGCAGCGTTTTCTGGAGACGTGAAATCTTCCTGGGGAGGAGGGGAAGCTCAATTTAAGCCGTGCTTTTAAGAGGGGTCGCAGAGAGGGTTACGGTCCCTCTGTTGTTACAGACCCACGCAGGGCACCGGGCTGGCTGCGCGCACGAAGCACTTGGGTTTGGGAGTCACACGAGACGCGAGGCAACTCTTCCCAAAGTAAGTGTTGGAGAGGGGGGTCTGCGCGCGTTGCAGCTCCGTCGCTGTCTAAAAGTGGGAAATGCACACGTGCATGTATACACGCATGCATACAAACATATAACCAGGAGTGAAACTTGGCGCGGGGAAGGGGCAGCCACGGCAGGAGATGCGCCCTCACTTGGCCTCTGCACAAACACATACTACACAACAACAACAACACGCCCTGGCTCCCTTTTACGCATAAAGCACCCGAGCTCCCATTAAACAAGGACAAGAGGTGCCGGGGCGAAAGCACTTCCTCGGGGTAACCCGAAAGCACCCCCGTCCACTCCATGCGTAATGGCGATGGGGATGTTCGCCAACACGGGGCGAAGGGCACCTTTTTACGCACAGTGTCGGAGCCGCTGTTGACATGGTGGAAAGCGAGCGCGCCCACGAAGGCGCCCGAGAGGAGGGCCGTCGTGCTCTCGGCGGCTGCCATGGCCGGATCCGCGCCCAACGGGCCTGTTCAGCCGCGCGGCGGAAGGCGGGCGAGGGCGGTGGGGAAGGAAGCGAGGCCGGCTGCGAGAGGAGCAATGGCCGCGCCCGGCCCTGGAGACCCGACGAGGGAGGAGGCGGAGACATCGGGCGCCCAGAGAGAAAGAGGCCGCCCACTTGGTACACAGAGAAAGGGATCTAAAGGATCTAATAACTTGTCTCGGTTGATCGAAACCAAATAAAGACACGTGTGTGTACATAAGGAATCAGTATACACACGCACAGCCTTTATTTGGTTTTTATTAAGATACACGCAAGAAACAAGGAATCATTGCAGGTGTCTTTCTTTGGCTTTTATTAACACACGAACAATAAACATAAGGAATCACACACACAGATTTATATCTATATATCTATATCTATAGATATTTATATATATAGATATATACACACACATACACACCACACACATATATATACACATATATACATATATGTGTGGTGCGTATTTATTTGGTTTTTATTAACAAACAAACCTAAGTATGTTTGTATGTTGCACATCTTTATTTGGTTATTTATTTATTTTGGTTCCTTCCCCACCATCGTGGTCAGCACAGTGAGTGAGGGTAGGAGCTGTAGTCTGAAAACAAATAAAGGTATCTAGGCACTATTTTAATTTATACAGTATAGCATAAATCCTGCCCAATTTAAGCATCCTTCTTGCCTGCCTCAAAAGTTAGTAGATAATTCAGTGTATACAGATGTGGGGGAGGTATGCGCACTCCCAAATTGTTAAAAGCCAAAAAGCTAACAGGAACCTTAGCCAGTTATTGAATTAACCATTGTACTTTGGGTTTGAAGTTAAGGAGGATCATTCAAGAGTTACAAATTATTTTTGACTGCTATGTTGTGCAACTATAGCAAGTTGACAACCTGCACTTCAGTAATAATAAATAATAATAATTAATAATAATAATACATAATATAACAACAAACACCTCAGGTTTCTTGCACTTATAATGGATGAGGAGGGGACAACTCATGGCACGAATACTGTATATACCCTCAAGCACTGCCTACTAGTGTGGATGGGATTTCAGAAGCATAAAATTTGAAAGTGAAAACTGCTAATATGTTTATTATAGCCATGTGCATGGGAAAGGTACTGTCAACTTCATGCCAGTGCTAATCTGCTATATATTTTGGAAACCTGTTCATTCTCTGTGCATCTGTGAACCTCTTAAGACACCGTAATCAAATTTTGCATGGTGTTCTGGAGATGAGGAGCAGGTTTTCATCTACATTTGGGTGCCATTTTGAATCAAGGTGGCGGAATGCACCTTTCAAAACGGCACTGATTTTACCCCCTGATCTTAAAACTGCATTTATTTATTTTACTTCTTAGAATTCCTAAACAGTGCTGGGTACAAGGCTGCTGGTATTCAGTTTTACTCTGCAATGGGTTCATTGGACAGGTGGTAGACTCTGAGGCTCTGTAAGAAAACCTGTAGGTTTTTTTTAAAAACAGTCCAAGGTTCAGAAATAGCAGTTCTTTGGAGTCAGCATTTCCCTCTCACCTAATTTAACAACCAGTTATTATACGATGAGAATGCAGACAGTGTGTGGACAATGACCTTTAGCATCTTTTATGGCAGAGTTTGCCAATAGTTGTGTCATTAAAAGAAGATCACGATTAGGCACATTTTTTTTATAGCTGAATGATAATTACAAACAAGGTTAGAAGAGATTTTTTAAATTTTTATTCCACACAGCCTTTACACCTTATACAAGTTTCCTGAAGCAGTTTAGCGTGCAAACCTCTGCATGTTACTTGGATGTAAATTCAACTGTGTTCAATGGACCTTACTCCCAAGTAGCGTGTGTTAGGTGTGCAACCTGAGCATAAAAATCCAATTGAAATAAGTAATGATTATAATCACCGTGAGGTCAGCTTAAGAAAGACAGAGATGTTTTAAATGAACAAACAGCAGCAGCAGATGACACTAGCAATAATTTAAGATGTACAGTAAAAGTAATTGTAACTGGCTAGGCCTCTATCCTCTGCAGAGTTAGGTATGCTTAAATTCATTGATTTTTAATGGGCTCAGGTGCAGCTAACTCCGTATAGGATTGGGTGTGCATGTTAAAATACTACGCCTGATAGTTGATGCTAAGAATGCTATAGTGCAGGAATGGAGAACAAGTGACTCTCCTGATGTTAGCAGAAGTGCAACAGCAGAGATTATTCTGTGGGTGATTGCAGGCTTAAGTCAGTTAATCAAGGGGTGGGTGGGTGTTGTGTTGTTTAGCAAGCAAGCAGAGTGGCATGGTCTTTGCTGAGTTAGTGTGTGCTTTGATTGGCTATGCAGTTGTTGGTCCTTTGTATGTTTGGTTGTTTACAACCCAACATACCGTATTGTTCGCTCTATAGGACGCACTTTTTCCCTTCTAAAAAGTAAGGGAAAATGTGTGTGCGTCTCATGGAGCGAATGCAGGCTGTGCGGCTAAGCCCAAAGCCAGAACAGGGAGACGGAGCGCTGCGCATCGCTCCGTCTCGCTGTTCTAGCTTGGGGATGGCTGCGCAAAGCTTCCACAGGGCAGTGGGGTGCCTTCACCCCGCTGCTCTGCGGAGGCTTCACAGGCTGTCCCCGAAGCCAGAACAGCAAGAGGCTATCCCAGAAGCCAGATCCCTCTTGCTGTTCTGGCTTCTGGAGTTCAGAATTTTTTTCTTCTTGTCCCCTCCTCCCAAACTAGGTGCGTCTTATCATCTGGTGCGTCCTATAGAGCGAAAAATACGATAATTGACACATGCTGCCAAAACAGTTCTGCTGAGTCCCATCCGCACTATACATTTAAAGTAGTACCGTACCACTTTTAAGAATCATGGCTTTCCCCCAAAGAATCCTGGGAACTGTAGTTTGCTAAGGGTGCTGATAGGAGATCTCCATTCCCCTTGTACAGCTCCAGTTCTTATTGTTGACATCCACCTGTCTTGAGAGACAATGGTGTGAACCTCTAATGTCAAACTGCTGCATTAGCAGAACCAAGTGACCTCAGGGTGCAAGCCTGGGCAGTGGTTTAACAATACAGTGTTGTCCCCAAGACACTCTAGCATGGGCGTAGCCAAGGGGGGGCAGGGAGGGGCAGTTGCCTCCCCCCAAATCAATAAAAATGCATAGCAAACTGAGGTTCTTCTCCCCAACGAAAGGCCTCCCCCCCCCAACAAAAATCCTGGCTATGCCCATGCACTCTAGGAATTGTAGCTCATTGAGGGGAATGTTGTTGTTGTTTAGTCGTTTAGTGGTGTCCGACTCTTCGTGACCCCCTGGACCAGAGCACGCCAGGCACTCCTGTCTTCCACTGCCTCCCGCAGTTTGGTCAGACTCATGCTGGTAGCTTCGAGAACACTATCCAACCATCTCGTCCTTTGGAAATGAGGGGAATAGGAATCTATTAACCAAACTCAGCATCCTTAAACTTCAGTTCCAGGATTCTTTGGGGGAAGCTATAACTGTTTAAAGTGTTATGATACTGCTTTAAATATACAGTGCAGATGTGAATCTGGTTGTGGCGCATGCCTTAAGTGCAAGTTAGACCATAGCTGTCAACGTTTTCCTTTTTTTAAGGGAAATTCCCTTATTCCAAACAGGATTCCTTGCAAGAAAAGGGAAAAGTTGACAGCTATGAGTTAGACCTACCCAGTGCTTTTTTTCTCCTAAAAAAATGTTATGGGGTTACTCTCATTTTCCTACTCATAACGAAATACTGGCCTTCAATGAGGCCAAACCTAGATTCACAAAATGTTTAGGGGTATGTGTACCCCTGCGCCCCCCCTAGAAAAAAAGGCCTGGACCTCTTTGTGATCTCGAGGATCATAAAACTTCATATTGCGATGCAGAAATAAAACCTGCTTTCAACTGAGGTCATTTCCTTTCGTTTCCTGCTATTATTTCATGTCCCTCAAAATACCTTTCCCTTCCCTTCCCTTGATTGATAGAAAACTCTCCCCAGCAGCTCTGCCTTTGACAAACAGCACAGCTGTTTAAATAAGTGAAACTTGAGCTATCGTAGATAAATATCTGCAAGGCAAGGTGGTTTCCCCTGACAAAGATGTGGGGCCTTGAAATGTGTCACTGCACACAAGCACAGCAAGGAACACATAGGAGTACTGATGGCTCACTGCGGATCAGAGCATGTTTCTGTGACCTTGAAAAGGGAGCTGGTATAAAGTTACATTTTCTCCTTTCTCCCCTCCCTGAGCAGTGCGAATGGCCACTCCGCTGTCCAGGGGAGTCTGCCCATACTACAAATATTGGATACATACACATAGAAGAAGAATTTATTATTTCTGTCACAGACCGGTTCCAGCCCACATACAATATCAAGGAAATCATAAAACACAATAGGGATACATTTGAATTTGCAATTAGGTATAAGAGGGACACTACAGATATAGCAACAGTTTAAAAAATATATAAATTAAAACTTAAGGTAAAGGTAAAGGTACCCCTGCCCGTACGGGCTAGTCTTGCCAGACTCTA